GAGACAAGGTCATAGATCGAATTATTGAAGGATTATATCATGGATATTCCATAGCGCCCATGAAAGGCTAAACATAATAACTAATACCATGAGTCGTAGATTGGAAGATAGCTTAAGCGTACATGAAGACGATCTGAAGGAAGAGGAAGCTAAAGAGTTTAATCAACTAATTAAATCAGGAGTGGAATATTGGACACGGAAAATTATAGGAATCGTGATTGAGAACATATCAGGAATTACTCTTAATGTCAGAGGTACAAGAGAAATAGTACAGTAGCAATATTCTATAACGGCTCTGCGACGAATCCACTTAGAAAGTACGAGCCTCATAAGAAGTCAGTATAAAGCTCCCACCGAATTGCGTATGCAGCTGAGATGCAAGTATTAGAATAGAGCTTCAAATAGTGGATGTGAATGAAGGGGGGTCATGAAAGACATAGGAGATGTGATGCAAGATTTTAAAATAAGTAAGGTAAAGATGGACAACGTACAAGATACTCAAATGCAAAAGGTTGTGAATAGTCCTTACATCAAATAGAAGGCTAGAAGTGCGAGGATTCAATATCTAGGAATGATAGCGGCAGCGTCGGTGCCATGTCTTCTAGCCTATGGTATCTAGGTATTGAGAAGCCTGATTAAGAGAGTGAAGAGGAGTTAGAGACGATGTGACATCTCGCTTGATGTTCCAGAATTACATAAGGAAATCTATGATTCAAGTAAGTTGAAAGGTTGCGAGTGATATAAATAGATATGTATAGGTCACAAGCTATTGTATGGTAGAGCGACAAGGTTTTAAGAAGGTATGATTAAGGATAAGTAAAGGCGAGTAAGAAGGATTAAGCCCATGAAAACAAGAAGAGTAGATGGTTTCTCTAAGTTATACAAAGCTCATTATAGCCTGAATGAACTCAAAGGAGTCTAAGACTAATCGCATTTAGAAGAAATAGAACGCTGCCCTGGTAATCGAGTGATGGCGTAATTGTGATAGATAAAGGATGACGTTTGGGCCTTCAATTGAGTAATGATTTGTCGAAGACAAGAAAGGGATCTCATGAATTGGATAGGATTAAAATACCCACGCAAGGTGAATCACATTGGGATGATGTGAGATACGGTTATGAAAGCATGGTATCGCCCCAGGTGGATCAGTCTAATCATTTCAAATGTTTCTCGATGAACGTGAACCCTAACGGCAGTGTTACGTAAAAGGTTAAGTTATCAACAGTAGTTTATAGATCAATATTTAGGTGAATCAACAATATATGGATAAAAGTTATAAAGTATGAGATGAGATTTGGCCATAAGATGAGCATGTATGCGGGGAAATCGGGAGACCAATTTTCCTCGACATAGTGCTTCGAAGAGCAAATCACGAAGGCACGGGATCTCAGTTCGGTCCCCCCCCTCGAGACCTAGCCGATGCCTTGCCCAGATCGAGCATTGATTAAGACCCTGATGGGCGAAGGTATTCCCCGAGGGATGTGTCTGGGGACCACGTGACTTCTCCAAATGGCTCGACGCCAGTTCTCATACAAAGAAAAGCAGGCTGTCACATCTCGTTCTTTTATTGTATTGTTTATTTCATATTGAGTTTGGACGTCCCCTTTTTTCTATAAAAAAGGGGTCACCAACACCTTGTAACATATATCTCCAATTGTCTTACAAATAAAGCGATAATATTCACTCTCTATCTCTCTAAATGTCTCTCTGGTTCTAAGTCATATCTATTGATAGCTATCCTCTTGGTTTGCCTATTAAATATATCTCGAGATCATCCTCAGCATTTTATTGTTTCTTAGTCTGTTCTTCATCATTTGGCCAAAAATTGATCATATAAAGCCTTACTTACTTTTATATTTTTCTGCTATCCCCCCTTCCCGACTACCTTCGACAGGCCCGAGGTAGGCTCGAGGCCTAACCCCGAGGTACTCCCTGGTTTGCTCTAAGACCGGGAACGATCCCTTACTGGTTCGATTATCGTTTTGGCTGGCTCGATCTTTGCTGTTTTACTCCATGTTTTAGCATTCATCACCCTTACAAACTAGCTCGGCAATCGATCACGTATTTTTAGAATCCCATTTATAAATTTAATTGTTGTTACCATTTTTACGGTAAACAGTTTGGCGCCCACCGTGGGGCTAAAAATAATAGTGATTATTTTCTTGCTAGTTTCGTCACTTAAACGCACGATATCTTTCACACTTTTCTTGCCCGAGAACTCTTTGATTGCAGGTCAAAATGTCCGGCTCAATAAACAGGGTTGAAAACAACGACTCGAAGACCGCGGGGAAAACGGCGTGGCCATCCCGGCCGTCGGAGTACCTCTGCAGAATCCTGACGGCGTTCCCCGACCAATCCCAGTGGATGCGGATTCGCAGGACGCTCAGCAAGTAGACAAAACGTCTCACACCGACAGGAGCGTACGACGCATCGACCAACTGGAAGCACAAAAAACCCCAGCCCGGGAAGAATAGGAAGTTAGTCTTCACGTTATCTTTGAAATGTTGCAGGCACAGCAACTAGCAATCGCTCAGCTACAAAGCCACCCAAGAACCCCCAGTACAGTGGCACCAGATACAGCTCCCCCCGCCGAACGAGTGCTCGAAAGGTCAAGCAACAACGAGTCGGTGGCTGACCCCGCTATTGTAAATTACTCGAGGACCTCACCAAAAGGATCCAATCGGGAGAGAAAATGATCGCAGCCAATGATAAAAGGGTCGAGACCTACAACTCTAGGGTCGATCAGATCCCTTGCGCCCCTCCGGTCCTTAAGGGTCTAGATTCAAAGAAATTCATTCAAAGGCCATTCCCTGAAGAAGCGGCACCGAAACCTATCCCGAAGAAGTTCAGAATGCCGAAATTCCCTAAGTACAACGGCACATTCGACCCCAACGAACACGTCACTGCGTATACCTGCGCAGTAAAAGGTAACGACATAAATAGCGACGAGATTGAATCTGTACTATTGAGAAAGTTCGGAGAAACGCTTTTAAAGGGGGCCATGATGTGGTACCATAACCTGGCCCCCGACTCTGATGTGCCGGAGAATTTCGGCACATTTCAATACTAATTGCTTAGATTTTAGCTTGTTTTAATGCAATTATCTCCTTTACTTATGTAATTTTGGTGTTTTTACAGTACATATGGACTAAGGACCCAGGAGCATGGAAATGAAAGCAAAAAAGACAAGAAAAGAGCAAAATGCAGCAAAAAGATGGTTCTGCGACGCATTATGCAATCGCAGATCACATATGCGAGCCGCAGAATGAACACTCAGACCGCAGACAAAAACAGACTCCTGCGCAAATTTCAAGTCAAGAATGCGGTCCACTATGCGACCGCAGAATCTGTCTGCGAGCCGCAAAGTGAACCGCAAACCAACCATGAAGGCTGCTGGAGGACGAATGTGCGATGCAAAATGCGATCGCTTTTCTGCAATGCGAACCGTAGAGCTGGAATGCGATGAAGATGTGAAAACTAGGGTTTCAGTCTGCGACGGGGACGTCCAAAATGCGGACCGCATAACACTTATGCGACGAGAATGCGACCGCATTTCTGACCTGAAAGGGTATTTTTGTCCGTTTTTACCAAGAAAACAAAGGTATCAGTGACCCACAGCCAGAGACTTCGAGAAGTCGCTGAAGACGACATCACCTTTACAGAGAAAGACGCTGACGGACTTCTTCTACTGCATAACGACACCTTGGTAATTTCTCTTAGTGTTCTAAATTTTAGGATTAAATGTGTTTTGGTTGACTCAGGAAGCTCAGCCAACATCGTTCAATGGAGAGTGCTGGAACAAGCCAAATTAACCGGAAGTATCATTCCAGTAAGAAAGCTCCTCACCGGGTTCAACCCTGCAAGTGTGACAACCCGAGGACAGATTCCTGTTGACCCTACGAAACGACCGAAGGGGGTTACAAAAAACTACCTTATTTGAAGTAGGTGGACGGTGGGATGGGCTACAATATAATTCTCGGCAGAACCATGGTTACATAGAAATGAAGGTTGTACCATTAACAATATCACCAACTGCTGAAATTCCCGACCCTAGAAGGAATCAAACAAATAAGAGGAGATCAACTGGCAGTGAGGGAAATGAACGTAGTGTCAATTTCCAACATTANATTAGTTGCTCCTTCAAAACAAACTCAATTCATACTCTTATCACTATTAATTCACACTCTTGTTACCGTTAACTGGATAGAATTACGACTTTAGTCGAGCAACACACTATTCTAGTAACCTTTTCACACCTATTCCCTGTGGGATTCGACCCCAACCTTGTTGGGTTATTATATTTGACATCGACCGCCTTACACACTTTATAAAAGTGTAATTTGAGCGTATCAAATCTTGGCGCCGTTGCCGGGGAATACGGTTTTGAAATTACTATTTAGTGTGTGCTTTACTTTACGTCTTATTCTATTCCATCACTCTTCGCTTGCTTTGCTTGGTGTTGATAGGAAAACATGTCTGACTACGAGGAAGAAGTGGAAGAAAATCCTTTTGCGGACATAGATGAGTACATTGACGATACCAATGCTATTGTACCTCCGGCTATTGGTGCCTCAACCTTCAAAGTGGAACATGGTCTAATCCTAATGCATAAAGCGGAGGGGTTTTTCAGGAATTCTACTGATGATGATCCAACGCAACACCTTAGGAACTTCTTGGGTGTATGTGTTATGCATAAGCAGAAAAATGTCTCAGATGATGCCCTAAGGTTGAGAGTCTTCAGGTACTCACTAGCTGGAGACACAAGGAGGTGGCTTCAAAAATTGCCACCAAATTCCATTCGGTCTTGGCCTGAACTTGTCCGGGCATTTCTAGCAAAATGGTTCCCACAGAGCAAGAAGTCTGAGCTTTGAGATAAGATTTTCTTCTTCAAGCAACAACCAGGGGAACACTTACATGAGGCATGGGATCGACTCAAATTATATTTGGTGAGGTCTCCCAATCATGGCTTTCAAGATTCAATCTTGGTAGAGAAATATTATATGGGTTTGGATCCTATGAACCAACCTATAGCGAAGAATGCGGCGGACAGATCTTTTATGGACAAGTCATTTGCAAGAGTTACGCAAATACTCGATAAGATGGCAAAACACAATCAAGCTTGGCATTCTGAGGATACTTCGGGCGGAGTTGCATATGGTTCTCCTTCCTTGACCAACTTGATCAAGGAGAATCAAGAGAGGGACCAAATAATTGCAGGGTTGGCCACAAATGTAAATGTGTTGACAAAAATGTTCGCGGAAAATCAAACCAAAAAGGTGAATGTAGTCGAGGATGTGCAACCCATCTCCAATGAAGAGTTTGAAGAAGCTAACTACATCAACAACCCTCAAGGAGGGTATCAAAGACAACATTATCAGGGTCAGGGGCAACAAAGTCAATGGAGGCCAAACCCGCAAGGGCAAGGCAACCAACAATGGAGACATGACCAAGGTGGCTCAAACCAAGGGAATTGGAACAACAACAACAACTTTTCTAACCGGAGTTCAAACCCCTATGTTCCTCCAAAGGGTCAATATTCGAACCAAGGGTCTTCTAGTGAATCTAAGTTGGAAGCTATGCTTGAGCCAGTGTTGCAAAATCAAGAAAAATCCGATGCTTCCATAAGGAACACGACCGAGGTTGTTGGATCTCATACCGCCTCCATCCAAAAATTGGAGATGCAAATGAGAGACCTCTCCAAAGAGAAAAATCCAAAACAAAAGGGAACACTCCCTAGTGACACGGTTGCAAATCCAAGAGGTAGTGGGAGTGGCCCAGCTTCTCACGATCACTACTAGGAGTGGGAAAGTGCTACACGGAGAGGGTGAACAAATGGTTGAAGAAGAAGAGTCCGAACAAAGGGTTGAGGTTGAAGAGCCAAGTGTTGTCAAGGTTGAAAAGATTCCGGAGGAGGTGAAAGTGCAAAAAGAGAACCGGGAAGAGGTGAAGGAAAAAGTGAAAGAGACACCAAAAGCTCTTCCACCTATTCCTAGACCTCCTCCCCCATTTCCTCAAAGGCTCGTAAGAAAGATTGATGATAGCAAACTTGAAAAATTCTACGACATCCTCAAGCAATTAACGGTGAATATTCCTTTTGTGGAAGCTTTTCAAGAGATGCCGGGGTTTGCTAAATATTTGAAGGATTTGATCACCAAAAAGAGGACCACAAAGAATGAGTGGTAAACATGACTCACCGGGTTAGCTCTATTATTGCCACAACCCCTATCCAAAAGAAAGAGGACCCGGGAGCCTTTACTATTCCATGCACTATCGGGGCGCGTGAATTTGCAAGAGCCCTTTGTGACAATGGAGCTAGCATTAACTTGATGCCACTTGCCATTTATAAGCAAGCGGGATTAGGGATGCCAAGGCCAACAAGCATGAGATTACAAATGGCCGATCGTTCCATTAAGCGACCGGTAGGAATTGTTGATGATGTGATTGTGAAAGTTGGAAAATTCCATTTGCCCGCCGACTTTGTAATTCTTGATTCTGCGGTTGATAAAGAAATCCCTATCATTTTGGGGAGACCATTCCTAGCCACGGGAAGGGCACTCATGGATTCGGAACGGAATGAAATTAAATTCCGGGTGAATGATGAAGAAGTCACATTTCAAGCGAGCAAGGGTATGAAGTTACCCCATGAGTATGAGAGCATTTCAGTGATAGATGTTGTTGATGAGGTGGAAGATGCCGTCGAATTGAAAATGGAAGAACAATGCCTTGGTGAGGCATTGGCGGCTATCTTGGTAAATTTTGATGGTGAAGACATGGATGGGTACATGGAGTCGGTAAATGCATTGGAGGGTCTTGGATCCTATACTTATACTCCGGCAAAGCTTTCTCTTGACTTGGAGAATCGGGCCACACCCCCCGCAAAGCCATCAATCATTGAACCACCACAACTAGAGCTCAAGCCACTTCCCCCGCACCTAAGGTATAAATTTCTTGGCTCTAATGATACTTTACCCGTAATTGTTTCGTCTTTGTTGAATGATGTGCAGGTAGAGCAATTGTTGGAAGTCTTGAAGGAGCATAGGCAAGCCATTGGATGGACAATCGCGGACATCCGAGGGATTCCCGCGGGAATTTGTGAACACAAGATCCAATTGGAGAGTGACACGAAGCCTAGTGTGGAACATCAACGACGGTTGAATCCGTCAATGCAAGAGGTGGTAAAGAAAGAAATCATCAAGTGGTTGGATGCCGGGGTGGTCTACCCTATTGCCGATAGTTCTTGGGTGAGCCCGGTGCAATGTGTACCGAAAAAGGGAGGCATGACCGTAATTGAAAATGAAAAAAATAAGCTCATCCCAACAAGAACGGTGACCGGTTGGAGGGTGTGTATGTATTACCGGAAGCTCAATGGTGCAACATGCAAAGACCATTTCCCTATGCCTTTTATTGATCAAATGCTTGATCGGTTAGCGGGAAGGTCATTCTATTGTTTCCTTGACGGATATTCCGGCTACAACCAAATCAACATCGCATTGGAAGATCAGGAGAAAACAACATTCACTTGTCCCTATGGAACTTTTGCCTTTAGTCGGATGCCATTTGGTTTGTGCAATGCTCCGGCTACTTTTCAAAGATGCATGATGTCCATTTTCTCCGACATGGTGGAGGATTTTCTAGAGGTCTTCATGGATGACTTCTCGGTAGTAGGTGACTCTTTTGAGCATTGTCTTAACAATCTTAGACAAGTGCTTAAGAGGTGTGAGGAAACCAACCTTGTGCTAAATTGGGAGAAATGCCATTTCATGGTGGATGAAGGCATCGTATTGGGGCATAAAATTTCAAAGCATGGCATTGAGGTTGACCGGGCTAAGATCGAGATTATTTCCAAGCTTCCTCCACCTACTTCTGTAAAGGGTGTTCGAAGTTTCTTGGGGCATGCCGGATTTTATAGGCGGTTCATCAAGTATTTTTCCAAAATTGCAAATCCTATGTGCAAACTCCTTGAGAAAGACGCCAAATTTGTGTTTGATGAAAAATGCCTCAAAGCTTTTGATGAATTAAAGCTCAGTCTCACCACGGCACCTATTATTGTCACACCCGATTGGTCTCTTCCTTTCGAGCTCATGTGTGACGCTAGTGGTGTAACTATTGGAGCAATGCTTGGCCAACGTCACAACAAGGTTCTCCACCCGGTCTATTATGCAAGCAAGACACTCAACGAGGCACAAATGAATTACACGGTGACTGAACAAGAGCTTCTTGCCATTGTTTATGCCTTTGAGAAGTTCCGGGCTTATTTGTTGGGATCCAAAGTGATAGTGTATACGGATCATGCTGCTCTTCGCTATCTTATGGCAAAGAAGGATGCAAAGCCGCGGTTGATTCGATGGGTTTTATTGTTTCAAGAGTTTGACTTCGAGGTCAAGGATCGCAAGGGAACTCAAAATCAAGTAGCGGATCACTTATCAAGGCTTGAGGAAGCAGGGAGACCAAGGGGAGATCTTGAAATCAATGATGCATTCCCGGATGAACATATCTTGGCACTATCTAGCACATTTGCTCCATGGTATGCCGACATTGCTAACTATTTGGTGAGTGACCTTATTCTGGAGGGGTTGGAGTCTTATCAAAAGAAGAAGTTCTTGAGAGATTGTCGGCAATATTATTGGGAAGAGCCATACTTGTTCCGTGTTTGTGCCGACAACATCATCCGAAGATGTGTTCCCGAAGAAGAAGTTATGCCTATTCTAAAAGCATGCCATGACTCGCTGGTTGGAGGTCATCATGGGGGAAATCGAACGGCGGCCAAGGTACTTGAATGTGGTTACTATTGGCCGACAATCTATCATGATGCCAATCAAATGGTCAAAGCTTGTGACCAATGTCAAAGGCAAGGATCAATCTCCAAGAGGCATCAAATGCCTATGAACTTTGTGATGAAGATAGAAATCTTCGATGTGTGGGGCATCGACTTTATGGGTCCATTTGTGAGCTCTTATAGGATGAAATATATCTTGGTAGCTATGGACTATGTGTCCAAATGGGTTGAAGCAATTGCTTTGCCTAACAATGAGGCAAGAAGTGTGACCGCGTTCTTGAAGAAAAACATATTCACTCGGTTTGGCACACCTAGAGCCATTCTCAGTGATGGTGGGTCTCACTTTTGTAACAAGGCTTTCACGGGGCTGCTAGAAAAGTATGGCGTTAAGCACAAGGTGGCCACACCTTATCATCCCCAATCTAGTGGTCAAGTTGAGGTTTCCAATCGGGAGATTAAGAACATTCTAGCAAAAACTGTTAATGCAAACAGGACAGACTGGTCAAGGAAGCTAGATGACGCATTGTGGGCATACCGCACGACGTACAAAACTCCTATTGGTACATCTCCATATCGGTTAGTCTTCGGCAAAGCTTGTCATCTACCTGTAGAATTGGAACACAAAGCTATGTGGGCTCTAAAAAGGTTGAACATGGATTGGGGTGAAGCTGCAAATTTGAGGTTGACACAACTCAATGAAATGGAGGAATTCCGTTTCCATGCTTATGAAAGTGTAGCTGTGTACAAAGAACGGATGAAGTTTGTCCATGACAAGAAGATCTTGAAAAGAGAGTTCAAGACGGGTGATTTGGTCTTGCTCTTTAACTCAAGGCTCAAATTGTTTCCGGGCAAGCTTAAATCAAAATGGTCCGGTCCATTCAAAGTGGTCAATGTCTCTCCTTATGGTATGGAGCGGTGGAATTAGAATCAACAGATGGGTCTCGGACATTCAAGGTAAATGGCCAACGCATCAAGCACTACTTGGGCACTGATGGAGAGAAACATTTGGTGGAGCAGCTGGCTCTCAAAGATGGTCCATGTCCGACCACTGAATGAAACCAAAGGAACCTCAACTTCGTCGTGGCGCAACGTTAAATCAAGCGCTTCATGGGAGGCAACCCATGTGTGGTAACACTCTTTTGTTCTTTGAATTTTTATTTGTTGATAGATAGATTTATTTGAGCAATTTAAAGTGTGTGTTAGAGTGCAGGGGGTTCGAAAGATCACTACACTTGGTAGGGATGCATAAAAAAGGGAAGAAAAACCACCATGTGAAGTTTGCTGCACATATGCGGTCGCATTTTCACTATGCGGACCGCATTTTGATCGCAAACCCAAACAGAAAGTTTGGTTCAAATTGGGGTGCAAAATGCGATGAGATGGTGCACTCTGCGGACCGCATTTCACTTATGTGACCGCATTGTGCACCGCATTTGTCACCCTTCAGCTGGTCCCTTAACCTCACCGCATAACACACATGCGGTCGCATTGCGTGTTATGTGGTGCCCTACCTACCGCAGAGTTGACAAGGTAAGTAACCGCACTTCTCTCGTCTCTCACTTACTTAAAACAAAAAAAAACAAAAAAAAGGGGTAAAACCAAAAAGAACAAAGAAAGCAAAACGAAAAAGAAAAAAAACAAAAAAGGGGAAAAACACAAACAGCAATCGAACCGTTCAAGCTCAAATCGTTCAAGACCAAAGGATTTGCTTTGTTACACTCATAAAACCTTGCCGGTATGTACCCGTTCCTCCCTCATCTTGTTTACGATTCCCACTGTGTAGTTGGTGATTTTCATTCATCCCTGTTGCAAAAATGTGTTATATGATGCTATGTGTAGTTATTTCTCCATATTTAATTGATCCTGGGTTGAAAATGATTTGGGGGAAATGGGTAGAAAGAAATGGGTCCACCATTGTTGAAAGCTTGGTTGAACCGTGTAGACAAAGGCATCTGCGGCCCGCATAGTGGAAATGCGGTCCGCATTTTGGCCGCAAATCAAACCCTAGGTCTTCTGATGAAGATGGTGAAATGCGGTGATTATGCGGTCGCATAACTGAAATGCGGACCGCAAATCCACCGCAGAGTTACACAGACCTCCCAGTTTTGAGCCTTGCATTTTGCAGCTGTTCTGCGATCGCATTCTCTACTTTCAGGTGAGATATGCGATCGCATTTTGTGATGTATGTTCTAGGCAAGTCCAGTCTGCGATGATTCTGCGGTCCGCATTTCAATTATGCGACCGCAGATCAAGTTGCATTTTGAGTTTTTCTTTTTAATTCTTCTGTGTTTTCTCCCACTGTGCTTATTTTGTCACTCACATCTCACCTTTGTGCAGATATGGCTCCCAAACAAAAGCATGCTTCCTCAGCCCTAAAAAGGGCATCCTCCAGTCATCCCAAGGCACA